TTCAACATGTGATACTGGACAAGATGAAACTAAACAACATGTGATACTGGACAAGATGAAACTGTTCAACATGTGATACTGGACAAGATGAAACTAAACAACATGTGATACTGGACAAGATGAAACTGGTCAACATGTGATACTGGACAAGATGAAACTGTTCAACATGTGATACTGGACAAGATGAAACTTAACAACATGTGATACTGGACAAGATGAAACTTAACAACATGTGATACTGGACAAGATGAAACTAAACAACATGTGATACTGGAATGTCAGAAATATGAGCAGAACGAAGGTTTATGAAGAGAGAGTTTGAAAAGATAAAAGAAAAATTTAATATAATAGATGCACTACAACACAACTTGGAGAACAAACATATGCAAATTATAATTAGATATTTTAAGAAAACAAAGTTGATTAATAGAATTTAAATATATATAGTTTACTCACACATACACATAGAATTATACCATGATGAACCACACTCCATACCAGTGGGGGCGGTGATGCACATCTGAAGTTTTTTACCAACCGCTATTAAACTCAAGAAGAAGAAGAAGGTCAGCTGACAGAACCGGAAGTGAACTGATCCGGACTTCTCGAGACCTCGTCCCTGAGCTCGGAGCTGGACTTCCCTGAGAGTCTGAGCTGCTGAGAAGGTAAGAAGTTCTGATGGTGGCACGTGACAGCTGAGGGTCCGAGCGCGGGGACAGGTGCACAGCTTCCACCTGAGCCACCGTCCTAAGGACCTGGGTCCGACCTAGACCTGCAGCACGTGAGGGGTCGGAACCTCCGAGCTGTTCTTCAGGTCACAACAGAATGACGTCACTGAACGAAACCTTTCTATGACATCATCATTTCTTGACGTGAGGAGCAGCTCTGAGCTGAACAACCTGCATGTTGGTTTGTTCACGATGGATCAGTGGTTAGCACTGCTGCCTCACAGCGACAAGGTCCTGGGTCCAATCCCCAGTTGGACCTGAGTGTTTCTGTGTGGAGTTCACATGTTCTTCACATGTTGCATGTGTTTCCTCCCACACATCAAAAACCTGCATGTTAGTCTGCGTCCAGGTCCAGACCTGGGCCGGAAAAGAATCTGGGGGTTCTGCCTGGTCCATTTTCTTTACCCACTTATTCCATTTTGGGTCACGGGGGTCGCCAGTGCCCATGTCCAGCAATCACTGTGTGAGGGGCGGGGGACACCTGGACAGGTCTGTCCATCGTAGGGACACATGGAGACAAACGAGACAAACATTCTGTCTCTCTCCTGGGGACAGTTTAGAGTCACCATCAGTCTAACATGCATGTTTCTGGTCTGTGGGAGGAAACCGGAGCATCCGGAGAAAACCCACGCAGCACGAAGAGAACATGCAAACTCCACCCAGAAAGGCCCCTGGACCGGGATTTGAACCAGGGACCTGCTCGCTGAGAGGCAGCAGCTCTACCAACTGAACCACCGTGCTGCCTCTGCCTGGGTCAATAAAAAACTTCACATTTTCACTCGTTTCTAAAATGAATGGTTTCTAAAATGAATGGTTTCTAAAATGAATGGTTTCTAAAATGAATAGGTTTCTAAAATGAACAGGTTTCTAAAATGAATAGGTTTCTAAAATGAATAGGTTTCTAAAATGAATAGGTTTCTAAAATGAA